GGGGGGGGGGGGGGGGGGGCGGGGGGGGGGGGGGGGGGGGGGGGGAGGGGCAGGTGCTGGTCAGCTTCCGGGCGCGCTAGCAGGGAGGCGGGCGAGGCACGCCGGCATGGGAGTTACACACCGGAATTCCCGCCCTTCTTCATGAGGCAGACCTCGCGCTCATTGTCGGGGATCATGCTGAGCTTTTGATCGGGCGGCAGCTCGGTCACCGCATCGGCCGCGCGCAGGGTGTACAGAGCGATCGGGAGCTTGTGCTTCTCGCACAGCTGCCGCAGCAGCGCCTTGCAGGTCCAATTTGACTGGGCCATCACCGTGGAGGTTTGCTTGATGTCCAGCGTGGAGTAGAGGTGGACGCGGAAAAGCAGCGGCTTACCGGCATCATCGGGATCGGAGTTGCGAGCCTCCTCGACTATGTGCACAGGCGATGTCAGGGGCGGCCGGCGGGGGAGGGGTCAGACTTGGGCGCCGGGGTGCGCCCATGGGCAGGGGGGACAGCAAGGGAGGGGCGGGAAGAGAGCAGGGGAAGGGCGGGAAGAGAGCAGGGGAAGGGCGGGAAGAGAGCAAGAGCGGGGCGCAAACGAGCCGGAGGGGGGGGGGGGAGCGGACGGTTGGACAGCAGATGAGCGTACACTTCTTGCGCGCGGCCTTGTCCTCGCACAGGCCAAAGGTGTCGGCTTCGATGGTCTGATGCTTTCCGAAGACGGGGGTCCCATAATCCACAGTCCCTAGCTCGTCGTCATCCACCATGCGCAGCGAGTAGGCGCCCACCTGGGCCAGGGGCGCCGGCGTGAAGCGCCCGGCCACGGCCGCCTCGGCATACTCATACAAGGCATAGCCGATGGCATTGTCGATGGTGGTGCCGCTCTTGATGGAGAGGACCATCGAGGGAGCCGCGCGTTGGCCAGTGGCACTGGAGCTGCTGGCGGCGCGCTGTGCGTGAAAGCGCGATCGGGCCGTGTGCCGATGTCGCCGGGCGGCGGCAATGGCGGCCGCCGTGTACTCATTGCCCTCGAGTGCCGGGGTGGCTTGGGCGGCCGGAACGGCCGGAGTGGCAGCCGGGGCGACCGGGGCATCCGAGGCGGCCGGGGCGTCGGAGCCGGTTGCGGCGGCCGGGGCGGATCCCGGAGCCGGGGCCTCCTGCGGCAGGAAGGTGGCAAAGGGAAAGAAGATCTTCATGACAACCGGGGACCGCTCGCCGCGACCGCACTGCCAAAGAGGGGTGGCAACAGTTCGGGTGCGCGGGCGAAATGCAGGGGGGAGAGGCGGGGGAAGGAGGGGGAAGGAGGGGGAAGGGGGCGAGCTGCTGGTGAGCACTGGCGGGCAGGAGAGGCGCCCCAGGCGGGGTCAAGAAGAGCGGGGGGACAGGGAGAGAGAAAGAGAGAGAGAGAGGGAAGGAGAGAGAGAGGGAGAGGTTCATGCGTACGAAGCTCGAGTACGACGAGAAGGGGTTCATGTAGCCCTTGTTGCGTACGACCAGCTCGGTCAGCAGGCTGCCGGGTTTGGACTTGGATGACGCGGACTCGAGCACCGAGGAGGGCCTTCTGCATCGAGAGAAGAAAAAAGGGACGGGTCAGTGGGATACAGGGAGGGAGGGGGGGGGGGGGGGAAGGGCCGAAGGGAAGAAGAGGAAAAGAAGCCGCGCGGGGGGGCAAGGAAAAGGCGCCGCGCCGTGGTGGCCCGCACTGTCGAGAAAAGGTCAGCGGCCCGTCGGCCGGCGACGAGTCGGCCGTGCGGCGCGGGCTGGGGAATGGCCGTCCCACCGGGGCAGCACGACCAGCAGGAGCTGCGATGGCCCGGGGACCGGGAGCTCCGCCAGGTGCGGCGGGCGCCTTTTGCCCCGGGGGAAAGGTCGGGTGCTCGCCATCGGCCCCGGATTCGGCCTGCGGAGGGGCCGGGCCCGGGGGCAAGTGTGCACCGGCCCCGCCGGGGGCGGCAACAGCATGCGGCCCGGCACCATTGAGAGGCTGGTGCACCGCATGCTGCTGGATGGCCCGGGTGGCCTGTTGCTCGAGGGTATGCTGCTCGAGGCGCCGGGCCTGGAGCCGGCCTTCGGCCAGGCGCAGAGGGGCCTCAATGTGTGAGATGGACAGCGAGTTGACGGGCTTGGCGATGTCATGCAGGGCATAGGCCGGCACGCCGGTGGCATGGTCATCCAGGTGTCGGGCCTCGGCGTCCGGCGTGACGGCCCCCTCATCGTGAGGGCCCAAGGCATCGGGATCGTCCGCCAGCAGGCCGGCCTCGGCCAGGGGGGACCGCTGCAGGTGGATGGGCGACCCGACAAAGGGGACAGCCGCCTCGCCGATGGACAGCGGGGGTGCCGGGATGACGCGCTCGGCCACGGACCCCTCGCTGAGACGCACAGGGTGAGCATAGGGGAGAGGACACGAAGGGGAGGTGGGTGGGTGGGAGGGGTTGGGGGGGGGGCGGCACAGGGGGAAGGCATGGGGCGCACCGCTCGAGATAGGCAAAGCGCAGGCGCGCAAGGGCGATGGCGCTATTACCGGAGACCGCCATGTGCTCTGGGGAGTGGGGGGAGGGGGAGCGGCGCACGCGATCGCGGCCCGCTGCGTGATCCGGGATCGAGAGGGGGGGGGGGGCAGAGGGAGGGAGGAGAGGGAGGGGCGGGGCGGCCGGCCTGCAGGCCCGCGATCAAGTGGCGCAAAGAAGAAGGGGTCGAGGGAGGAGGCGGAGGCGGAGAGCAAAGGGGGTGTCGAGAGGGAGGGGGGAGGAGACCGGGATGGCCGGTGCCCGGTCCGAGCTTCGATGATGGTTGGATCCCGATGAGGCCCAGCTGGCGGCCTGCTCTGCTGCCCGGCCGGCGCAGGGCGGAGGGGATCTCGGGCGGGCCGTGTGTCAGGGGACAGTCGTGGGTGTGCCGTCTCTCCTCGCGCCTCCCCGGCTGCCCCTACGCCCGCCCATCCCCCCCCCTCCCCCGCTCCCCGTCGGCGGCGGGGGGAGCCATTCGCGCGGGGACTGGCATGCCAGCGAACTCGCCAGGGGGGCGGCGGCGGCGGCAGGAAGAAGCCCGGATGGCCGACGTCAATTTAGGGTATCCCGGCTGGCTGGTCGGGAGAAGGCCGTGCCCCTGGGGCTGCTGCCGTGCTCGCATGTGCCCCCGCCCCCGCCCCCCCCCCCCCCCCCATAAGTCTTCGGGCTTTGTCGCCCGCCCTTCTGTGTCCCGCTCCAACGCGGGGGGCCCTCGCGCAGGACGGTCTTTGGACTGTCATGATAAAAGGCGGACGGCGCGTGCGCCGGACATACCGGCGGAAAAAACGGGCCTCCTGGGGGAGAGACATGCCACCCGCACTCCCCAGCACAGGCTGAATACCGAGCCGCCCCGGGGGATCGGCCCGACGGCCAGCCGGTCCGGGCACCCCGCGCCCGATATGCTGGCGGGTCGCCCCTGGGGGGGGGCGGGGGGGGGGGGGCGGGATCGTGCTGACCAAGGTAACCGAGCGGGCGCGTCCGGTGTATTAACCGGAGACGATTAACGCCAGGGCGCGACGGCACACACCGCCCGGCCGATGCCCACGAAGATGGAAATAAAGACCCGCGGGTATGAAGGACCAGCACCGCCGCCCCCCCCCCTCCCCCATCAAAAACATGGTCCTGGGCGTAATAATGCGCTGCTCGGTGCTCAGCCGCCCCCCGGCCAGGGGGGAACCAGAGGCAGGGCGTGGGCCCTGGAGATTGGGTTTTCCCGCCCGGAAGCACTGTTTATATTGGCCTCCGGTGTGGGGGAGTTTTTTTTTTTTTTTTTTTTTCGCGCGGTGCTTGGCGAAACGCCGGCGGGCAATATGGGCGGACATCTCAGAAAAACACGTAACATGCACGGGCGTCCCTCCCCTCCGGGGGGAGGACCCGCCGTGATGGGCCGGACATGGGCCCTCTTGCCGGGCCGACGCGCGGCCCTGCGGCCGGCATGCCATGCACGCACGCACGCGTCCCCACAAACCGATGGTCCTCCATCGCATGGACGCCATACGCAATAATGACCTGGCTTCGGGATGCCTTGAGGCGGATGCGGCCCGAACAATACCTATGGCTGTGCTGACGAGCGGGCGCGCATGTCGGCCTGTGTGTGTCTCCGGGGGGGGAGGGTCTTATTTTGGACGATGCCCGTTGGCGGCCGTGTGCCGGGCGGAGGAGCACCGGTCGGTGGCCAGGTGTTAATCGTTTTCTCGGCCCTCGCTCTCTCTCTCTCTCTCTCTCTGCTCCCCAGAGAGAGCGAGGGCGGAGCGGCCAGACCGCTCGGGGCATGGGGGTGGTGCCGCCATCCCCAGCTGCTCGCGCCTGGCCCGGCGAGCGCGCGTGTGCGTGTCCGCGGGGCGCCGGGCACCGCCGCCAGGGCGGCCCCGGGGAATGCATGTTTCATGCGGTCCGTGGTCCCGGGCGCTTGATCGAACCCTCGTGTCCCG